ACATTGTCCATCTGTAAGTAAAGAGTATTATCGTGAGATTCTCTGCTAAAATATGCATACATATTTGTATGTTAATGCATGTTACAAAACACAACTAAAAATGGTAGGTATTTATCTAATTCTCTGCTGTAAAGTATGTAACAAGTTACAGTTAGTCACGGTCATGGTTGGTTTATAAAAATATAATTTCAATGATAGGTAATTTTTATTTTTATTTATTTACAATACGGGTCAAGCCCAATTACATAATGATAATACAACAATATTTTAATTATGATAATAATATTATAGTGAACATGTAAAAATAAAATAAAAATAACGAAAATTCTATTTAATTAACTTAATTAGCACAATATAACAAATATTAAAAGAAAAGAGGAAAAAAATAGTATAATATATTATAATATCAATGTATACAAAAAATAATCCTAAGTGGAGATGGTCTGTCAGATGGAACTGTCTCTGTTATAACAATATTTTTGAATTGCAACAAAATAATTATGATTGTTTTTCCTCATTTTAATATTTTATTTTGTTTAAATTTGAGCTTAAAATAGGAATAAAAAAAGAAATTGTCTTTATATGATTTTTTAGTGACATTATGAATTATTTTTGCTATACCTTGTTTTAAATTTTCTATACTCAGATATAAAACAGAAAATTGTATTCATTTGTAACTACCAAATAATTGGCAAATTATTAATATTTTGATGAATATTGCAAAATGTTTAACTTAAAAAGCTTATGAAACAATGGCACATGTGTCTTTATTTTTTTTTTAAACTGCATTTATAGCAATGACAAGTAACTTTATATTCCTTTTTAACCTTTACAACCCGCAAAAAAAAATTAATTGACATTTATTGAAAAGACACTACAAAAAATGTTCACTAACAGTTGAATAAAAACAAAATCACACATCGTAGTGTATGGTTTAACTAATTATACACATCCCCAACTCTCACATAAAAAATTATTAAACTTAAACTCCACCTAATTATAATATTGTAAATTATAGCTGTTTTATACTTTTACAGATTGTTTTTTGGGGAAAAATAGAAAAAAGCATTTCAAGTCCTATTTTATAGGAAGCATCTTTACCATACATCAATCATGGTTCTTGTTTGAATTTGTTTACAAATAGATTTGAATCTTATGTGAGATGTGACTGCTGATATTATTAATATGAAATTATTTATTTATTTTTAATAAACTTATCTTAAAATTACTTAACACTTAATATTAAGGCAGGCATTTTTAAATTTGAAGAGTAACTTAATTTTTGTTGAGTATAATGGATCACATTTTACTACTCATATAAAAATACAATATATATACTGTGTATAATATGTATATTATGGATCTAGGGTAGGTTTTTTTAAGTTAGATCTACTAAAAAATAAATTTTTTTAAAACCTGTTTTGGCTTAAAAATTAATGATTACATTTAATTTAATTTTTGGTTTTCCCTGGAGCTACATAGAATATTAAATTTGACCTTTCGATAGCACCAACTAGAGTCACTTTTCCACTAGGAAAGATGCTGAAGTTGAAAACCAAAGAAATATTTTGACTACATGTAGGTAGTTGACTATAGGTAATTTTAAACACACATAAAAAATTTAATTTAAATTAAAAACACACTTCATTTTAAAATCATTACATAAATTGCACCACTCAAAATCAAAAATTAAGAAAAATGTTAATTTTACAACAAACTCCTAATTTCAAATTGAGTTAAGTATAAATACATGGGCGAAAAAATTCCTTTTTAATATTAACATTATTAATAATATCCATATAATATTAATGAGTACCATGTAGCAGAAGTGGTTCGAGTATTAAATATTAATTTAATTGTGATTCATTAAAGATTTTTTTGATGGTAAATATATGTAATATTAATTTACAATAAAAAAAAGTAATCAACGATCATGGTTAAAATTCATTGTTCTAAATAATTAAAAAGCTTTAGATCAAACATTTTTATAGCAGTAGTAACAGTAAAGTTTTCTTATAATTCAATAAATATTATTCATAGGGACACATATAAAATAACTAGTTACTGTAATTATGCCTTTATATAATATTATGAATAATCTATATTCACACCTACTAGCTACTACATACAACTTAGAAATGTTATACAAGGTTTCCTATAAGTTTTTATTATTGTAATTTATTTTAAAAAGTGAACGTAAATCCACAATAATTTTATGAGTGATCTGAATTTAGAATTGTATGCAATTTAATTAAATTACAAAACTTTTCAAATTATTTTGTAATTACAAAATTCATGAACGTGTAGTAACTTTTTGTATAGTCGATTTGATAATTAATACAAGATTCCTAAAATTTTTGATTTTTGATATTTTGTTATAATTCAAAGAATAAGATATTTAGTTATTTTATTGCAATTTAAAATATTATGTGCAGGTATTTTATATTTTTAAATGCAAGGTTTTCGGCAAAAATGTATTCAATCTACAGTAGATGTTACTAATAACGCAACTAATTATTTTGATAGAAAAAATATTAAAAAATATTAGGTGCTGGCAGGCAATGTTCGCTCAGAATCGTTTTTTCGTATACGTAATATTCAATGATATAATATCATTAAATTCAAATTTAACACATCGGCAGTGACCTACACGAAACCTGTGGAACTCACCATTTTTCCGTCACTTCCACAAACAAATTTCAACTACATAATAATTTGTCAATGTTTATCACACCGATACTAAAATAGCACTGAATATCAATTTTTTATTATTATAAATTAAAACTAATGGCACCAATATAGGTTCACACCAAGTATTTCAAAATTATAAATTTTGTACTGATACCAGTCAGCATATGTTGTGTTAGAAACCAGTTGGGGGCTTTCCCTCTCCACAACACCCAATTAATTTATATTCCCATATTAAATAATGTATTAATTGAATTCATTAAATTGTGTAGATTGACACATTATGGACAAACTAATATAAGTATACCTAGTACAGAGTATATCTTATAATATTATACAATGTACATTATAAATACATAGGTACAATACTTATTAGTTATTACTTACCTACCATACTAACAATTACTATCATAAATTCCAAAATTGAAAATATGCATAATGTTATGTATAACCATCGGTATTAGGTATACTGTATAGTGTTAATATACCCATGCATCACTATCACCTAAAATATGTGTTCAGTGTCATTAGGTACTGGAAGTCCTAAACCAATAAGACCATTATGCACCTACTGCAATTGAAGAGTATATGCTGCAGGTATACATTTTAAATGAAACAGAAAATGATTTGTTACTAAACATTTATGTATTTTTAATTTTATATTAAAATGTAAAATGTGCTTAATTTATTATATACTGTTTTTTTTTAAATTAACTTAATTATTAAATTACAAACCAAAAAATTCAGCAATTAAAAATTAAAAATATGCATCTGTTAATGATGCTTTAATAATACAATAAAATAATATAAATAGAATATATAAAAATTAAAAACAGTAAGATTTATTTATTTATTTATTTATGAAGGCTTAAAACGCTTTAGATAATTATTTAGCACTTCTTTAACATCGGATAATTTTCTTTTGTACTTATTGGAATTTGATGGACGTTGATAATATGCACGGATGATACATGAAGGACGACGGTTTCTCATTTTTACAATCGTATTATGTATCCTACTTGTCTTTTCAGCGTGGTTTACCGCTTCAAGTATCTGAAAAATAAAAAGACGAAAAAATTATATTAAAAATGTTAAATAAATAGACCTTTTTGAATTGTGAACTTTGAATAGTGACTATTTTATATTATTTATACTTGAAATTTATTTTAGATTTTCAGGGGAGTGATTAATTACTTAATATTTTTTTTTTTCACAAAACACTTTTGTAGTAGAAAAAATTGTTACGATCTTAAGCGTCAAGTGTGGTTTCTAACTGTATCTAGTTAGTACTTGGGGGGGGGGGGGGCTAAAAGCAACAGATTAGTTTTTTATAATGTGGAAAAAATAGATAGAAAAACTGGAATATTAATGTGACACCAATAATCGATAAAATCGATTTTATTCTTTAATTGTAATTCAAAAATGCATAATCATGAATAACTATTATTTTTTAAATACAATTCCTATTGTTTTTAAAGTATTTTGGAACCATATTAACATAATTGATAACATTGTTGTATTGTTTTATTTTTAATTTTAATTTTTATTAATATTTTATACTTACAGCACTTTCAGTAAGTCTTCCTTCATTGTTATCTAGTAAATTAGGTGAGTTTTGTACAGTTGTTTCGGTGACTTGTTGTGTAACGTCTTCGGATTCTACTGTTTCGATTTTTGTGTTTGAACTTGTACTTGGAGCTTCTTTTAATTCGACGAGTGTAGCTTTATTACTAGATTTCATTTTATTTATCTCATTTTTGCTTTTTTTCGTTTCAAATTGATTTTTCTTAGTATTTTTTTCTGAAATGATTGTACATAAAATTATACATACATATTAACTATACATTAATGTTTGTCATAATACTATGTTATGCAATTTGTGAAATGTATATCTATACCAATTGGGCATAGGTAGGTGCAAAATAAATAGAGCATGAGATTTTTTTTTCTTTGGGGGGGGGGGGGGCTATTGAAAGTTTGGAAGGCTTGACCTCTAAAGCCTCGACTATTTGTACCCATATATAGTGGTGAATCCAATATTTTTTTTTTATCTTTTTATAGTTTGTAATGAAAACTTATGGCTTTTACTTTCATAATTTGAAGTAAATTTACTAATTATATATTCAAATATGTTTATGAAAATGTCAACGTATTTAAATTTTGAAACAATATGCGAGTATAAAATATACATAGGAATATACATTTAAAAAGCAGTCACACCCGTAGCAGTATTGTCTCCGTCTTAGAGACGTACAATATTGTAAATTTACGTTCAGCACAGTGGGGTTAAATGATTTTGTCATGGGGGAGGAGGTATGGCTGAATTTTTTAACATTCACTATTTTATTATTAAAAATATAATGTATGGTTATTAGATATTATGCATTGAAAAAAAGGTCATGTAGTCATCTATACTCTTCAACTCCCTCCCCCCCCCCCCCCCCACACACACATATGACCGCCGCTGATTCAGCTGTACCCTAATCTTTCTGTTAATATTTAAGTGTGTAATTACATGCAACATTATATACAACTTAAATGCAGGTAAAACAATTATTTGTGTTTGTGTATTGGTATATAACTAAGTAAGTGAGACAGCGAATTACAAGTGTTTTTAAATTGAAGTATTTTATAAGCTCATAAGTCATAACTTGATTACAAATTAAAATATCGTAAAAACCAACATTCAAGTACAGATTATTTTCTTACCAATAACTTATAATTTAGTAAAAATAGTAATTAATTAATTTATAAGACATTAATAATACGTTTATAAGACAGAGTTAATATTTTCGATTTTCGTATAAGACTTCGTCTTCAACTACATTTTTTCAAATATAAATGTGATGAATAATATTATGACTAAATAAAAATGTATAATCACATAAGCCAATTTTCGATTGCACATCCCCCAATTATTCTACACACAAAACCAGGTTAGGTAATTCATTGGCCTGTAATGATAATTGGATATATCAGAAGAGGAAAACTTACTACACGATAGACGAGGCAACTGGCAAGAAGGGTAGTATGCGTATCACAAAGTTGTGATCATACCTATTGTGCAGTCATGAGTAATATTATATAATTGTAATATCTTTCTTACCTTCCATAACAATACTCTTTGATTTTTTCTTGAGATTGTGACTTTTTGTAATAGATTTTGTTTTTTTTTGCACAGGTCCATTTGAAATTTCGTTGAAACAAACTCTTTTAGTTTTCTTGTTCCCCGTGCCATTAAAAGACTAAAATACAAATTAAAACAATTGAATTAGATACATTAAAAATAGACTTGTATGATATATTTTAGTCTGGACGTAGCATACTATTCAATACATTTATCAGCTTTTACACAAACACAACTACATATTGATTGCATATAAATAAAAAATGATTTCGGTATACATGAAATTGTATTTTATATTTCTGAAAAACAATAGGCAAATATATTAGAATAAAAATGTTGAATAAATAAACATTTTTAAATTTTTAACTTTGAATATTGAGAATTTAATTTTATGTTTTGATTTGTAGGAATTTATTTTAGATCCTTAGTTAAGCGATATTTTTATAATAATTTATTTTTGTTTTATTTATATTTCTAAAGATGATTTTTATAGAAAAATAAAATGTTATGAACTTATACTTCAAGAATGGTATGTAATTCATAATTGTATATCTTTTTGGTATTTATATTTTTATTTATATTTTTTTTTTTTTT